AATGAATCTTGATGTAAATGGAAGGGGAGAGGGAGTGGGAAAGGGGAGGGTTGTGGGTGGGAGGGATGGTATGGGGGGGAAGCCATTGTAATCCATAAGTCGTACTTTGGAAATTTATATTCATTAAATAAAAGTTAAAAAAAAAAACTTGAATTTTCAGGTTGTGAAAATCCAATAAATGGTAATCAAACTCTATAGTAAAGATGCACACTGAAGACAAAAATATGAAAATCATCTACATGAAGAACACAGATTACTATAAAGAAAGAATAGTTCAACAGATAGCTAACTTAATAGTGCCAATAGAATTCAGAAGACGAGGGAGTATTTTCAAAAGGCTGGGAGACAATAACCATTAATCTTACTCTATAAAAATAAGTGAAACTATCTTTGAAGACATCTACAAACAAACCAAATTGAGAGAAATTAAAAATGGATCCTCTTTTAAAATTAAAAACAGCTTCTAAAATATATGTTTCAGAGAGACAAAATTACTGCCAGGGACAGTGAAAGCATAAGAGACAAGAAAACAGTAAATAATAAAAGTGTCTAATCTGTGGTATTGAAAAAAATGTAGAAAGAAAACACTGAGCAATAATAGCACATAATTTAGTATGCAAGTGATAAGAATCAAAGCATTCGAAGGTCACTCTGTAGAAGAATGATATTAATAATATTAATTTTAAGCTTTATAGACATTAAAATAACCAATAAAAATGAAAGGTATGAGAAGAAAGTTTTTAAAACATGGAAAATGGAACACAAAAGATCATGAAAATTAATCCAAATGAATAAGTGTGAATACATTAAACTCTTTTGACTTCCTGCAAAAGATTGTCAAACTGATTTTTCAAAAAATCTAATCCCAGCTATAACACTTTTTATAAAAGACTCAAGAAGGGCCAGTGTTGTGGCGTAGTGGGTGAGGCCCTGCCGGTTCGAGACCCAGCTGCTCCACTTCCGATCCAGCTCTTTGCTATGGCCTGAGAAAACAGCAGAAGATGGCCCAGGTCTTTGTGGCCCTGCACCCCTGTGGGAGATCCAGAAGCTCCTGGCTCCTGGCTTAGGATCGGCGCAGCTCTGGCCCTTGCAGCCACTTGGGGAGTGAACCAGTGGATGGAAAACCTCTCTCGGGCCAGTGCCGCAGCTCACTAAGCTAATCCTCCGCCTGCGGCACCGGCACCCAGGGTTCTAGTCCCAGTTGGGGGGCTGGATTCTGTCCCAGTTGCTCCTCTTCTAGACCAGCTCCCTGCTGTGGCCCGGCAGGGCAGTGGAGGATGGCCCAAGTGCTTGGGCCCTGCACCCGCATGGGAGACCAGGGGAAGCACCTGGCTCCTGGCTTCGGATCCTCGCAGCGCGCTGGCTGCAATGCACCTGCATAGCAGCCACCTGGGGGGTGAACCAACGGAAAAAGGAAGACCTTTTTCTCTCTGTCTCTCTCTCTCACTGTCTAACTCTGCCTGTCAAAAAAATAAAAAATAAAATAAATAAATAAATAAATAAAAAAGTCTCTCTGCCTCTGTAAATCTGCCTTTCAAATAAATAAATACATCTTTAAAAAAAAGGACTCTGGATAAAATTTTTAAAAAGGAAAACAGTATCATACTAATTAATAAAATAAAGTTCTACTTACATTAATATTAGACAAAAGAATCACTCTATAATGATACCATTTTTGGTTCACTAGGAAAATCTATCAATTTTAATTTTAGATGCATCTATAAGTCAGCTTCTAAATATTTAAAGAAAAGAAAAAACAGACAAATCTACCATTCTAATGAGACTTTACCATGTACACTTTTCAGTAATTGACAGCATAAGCAGACAACTTAAATGATTAACTAACTTGATTTAATGGACATATATAGAACTCTGCACTCACCAAGCACACCTGCAATAGTTAAAAATATGTGCCATATGGTAGGGCCATCCATAATGCAAGTCCAAATAAATTCCAAAGAATCACAATCATATAGATCATATTCTCTGACCACACTGAAGTTAGAAATTAATAAGAAAAAAAATCCTGTATTTGGAAATTCAAAAGTTATATTTTCAAATAATACATGGCTGAAGAAAAATCATAATGGCCGTTTTTAAATAAAACTAAACCAAAATATATCCTATAGAAAAACCTGTGTACAGTGGCTTAATTTATAGTCATAATTGCTCATATTAGAAAAGAGAGGCTGTGAATTACTGAAGTAAACATTTAACTAAAGAGGACAAAAACAAGAGACTAAACCCAAATAAACAGAAAGTACTAAGTAAAGCTAAGAGCACAAGCCGAACAAACAGGAACCAAATTCAGTTCTTTGAACGAATTAATAAAAATGATAAATCTCAAGCAAAATTGGCCAAGAAAAAAAGAGAAATTGAAAGCCTTTGTATTATATATTTTTTTTAAAAAAAGAACTATAGATATAGCAGAAATTTAACAGACTGACAATTTTATGCCAGTAAGTATGAAAATAATCAACACCAGAAAAATCCTTAGAAAAATAGAAATTTATCAAAATCAACTCAAGAAACAATAGAAAATATGATCAATGGGTAAAAACTCTTTGCAAAACAGTATGAACCAGATGGTTTCACAACTTCTAATAAACATTAAGAGTATGACAATTCTAACAGAAAAAGAACAGGTACTCTCTAATTCAATACTGTTTCTAGAAACTAAAAATTAGAATAATGTAAAAAACAGAAGAAAAGTGTACAGAATGTGGGCTTCACATTAAAAATGAAAAGAAACTCTACAGCTATATCTATCAACATAAATGAATCTCCAAAACAATTTTAACCAAATAACAGTATGTTATATAATAATTAATAGAATATGATGTCACTCACATCAAATCTTTATGCATATGCAAATGGGCACTCAAATTATTAAAATTTAAATGATAAAAACTACATTAATAATAGTTTCTTTTAACTGCAGGTGTATAAGATAAAGGGGAATCACAACTATCTGCAAAATTTCACTTGTTCTAAAGCAAGATTTTCAAACAGAATTTAGCATATGATAGGTAAATGGATAATTTTATTTTTGTCTAGACACTTAAATATTTTATGATACAAAAATTTTAATAATAACCAGAGAGGGTACTGTGAAATAAGAATAACAGCTAATATTTGAGTACTTATTTTATGCCAGAACTGTTCCAAGTCCTTTACTTCGTATAATTTTCATGTTAGCCCTATGAAGTAGGTGCTACAGTATTATCCATATTTTTTAGATAAGGAATTGAGACAAAGACATTAAGTATATTACACTGCTATTTTACAATCCTTTGAAAACCAATTTAGTAATACTAAATACGTCTATCTTTAGAATCTGTAAATCTTCAGGATAACTTAAGAAATTACCAAAAATATGCAAAAGATTTGTATGTAAAAAGGCACATGTTATTCCATTGGTTATTAAAAGAAATAAAAGTTAAAACTCCTAAAATACGTAACAGTGAAATAGTTATGGAGCATCTGTATGACAAAGCATTACATTCTCAATAAGTATATTTGCAAAGAATTTTCAACATGAACAAATGCTTATAGTCTAATGTTACACAAAATAATACAGACTTATTTATATGATAGTTGTCAGGTACTTAAAATATACATAGAAGACTAGAAGAAAATACACAAAAATATTATAATGGTAGTTACGCATGGGTGGTGAAATTACTAGGGAATTTCTTTCCTTCAAGTATAGGATCTTACTAAATATTTTAGTATGTATTGCTTAAAAAATAAAGGGGAAAACTACCTCCCCCTGCCAAATATGACACATAACATTATCTTCTCAGTCCTCTTAATCAGCAGTACCAAACTATCTCTGTTAACTCCACACTAACTCCAAACTATGTGCAACAAAAGAACAGTCTGTGTTGTTTCTAATAATAACTTTAACTTACGTGGTAATTGTGGTGTTTTACTATCATGTGAACGGTAGTCTTCATGAGGGACAGACTTGTCATCCTAATTGCAAAAAAGTTTATTATATGGTTAATACATTACAAAAAAAACACTGTAATGTGGAAAGTAGAAAAGAGCCAATCAAAGTTTTGAAGAAGTTGGAGTGCTGAATGATACACGGAACTCACCATTTTCACATGCATAGGTCTATCAAATAAAAATTGCCCATTGAACATAGCTGTTGGTTCAGTCAAGGAAAACCAGTTTAGATGACTATAAAATTATATTTGAACACAAACTAACTTGTGATAATCCTAAAGCCCTACTATAACTAATATCTTTAACACTTACTTGTACTAATCTCTTCCATATACTCAAATAAATTATATTCTTTTAATTCAACTACTGAATAAACAAGCCTCCAAGTAAAGCAATTGCATTAATTGATATACAATGGATTATATAACTGTTCAAAGCAGGTATAAATACAATTAGTTGTGGCAGAATAATAACACAGAAGAGTTCATACCAGCCCTGTAGAATATAGCTAATTCAAGTTTTAAGAGTGACTTTAGTACTTGGACACAGTTAAGGTTTTATGTACTGGAGACTAAAGTCTAACATACATTTCTAAACCAGGCAACCTTAAATTCATGAACTTCTTTCTCCAACCTCATTAAATAATGCTAAAATGTAAATCAGGATACAAATTGCTTGAACTGCTTCAATTGCTTGCTCAAAAGTGACAGTGCCCATTCCTCTGCTCTTGCCATCTTTGTCTTCTTTAATATCTGCCCGCTTTACCGTTCCAGCTATGCTGAACACTTCCTTTAGCTTCTTCCAACCAACTTTGAAGTCAAGCTTAATATAAAATTATACAAAGTTACACTACAGCCCTTTGCACATACAGAAATACAAAACAATCTTTTCTAAACTCTCAAAACTGTAAGAACTGTAATTTTTGTCCAACAGCATATCAATGGTGATCAAATAAAAGACATCTTAAGTTGTTTAAAATCAGTTAAGCTACATCTATGTTCATTGTTCCTTATCCTTACTTAAATTCTCCAAATCATCTCTCAACTAATCCATCCTGTATTATACATTTGAAGCTTGCACATCTATTTTTTCCAAGATAAAATCAGATTTTAGAAAAGCATTATTGATTTTACTGACTTTCAAAAGCTTAGAAAAAAATGGTAAACCAACTACAACATGCATGTTCACAAATATCAAAACTGCAAGAACAAAATCCATTTACTAATATTAACAAACATTCACACAATTAAAAATTTCAAGAACTACTCAAATGTTTATAAATCCTTAGCTCTCTGATTAAAAGTCCTAAGTAGTTGTATTTAGACTAACCTCATGTAAAGATATAAATTGGGTATGAGCTTACAGTAATTACTATTTCACAAAATGTTCTATAAACTTATAACCCATTCATTCTGATAGTTAGAATTAAGTATCTGAATGACAAATTTTAGACTAAAGCTTAAACTTACATTAGCAACAAAAATTGTGGAACCAAGTCTACCAGCCTGCAAATTACTGATAACCTCAGGAGGAATATTTGGATTATTGAGAATGGAAGGTGGTAAATTCATCAACCCCGATCCCATATCTGAGACATGTCCTCCTGGAAATGATCCTCCTGTTCGTTGCAACGCCCTACGAGCATTTTCTCCGTCAGGATCCTATAACACATATCGAACGTTAAATGCCACTAAATACATCAGTAAATCTACACAATTAAAATAACAACTTCAAATTCTATAGTAGCTATCCCATCTGGCTCATATCATTAACCCTCCTGAAGAGTGAGCTTTTTTCCTCATCCAAGAATTGAGTCCCATAAAAAACCTGTGGATAGGATAAACAAAAGATTTCAGTCTCCAGGGATGTCAGTTAAATACCTCCTTCCAATCACTAAAGTCACTTAAGAACTTGAAATTAGTTTAATTTTTCCGTCATGCTAGTATACAAGTATGGCACATACACATAAATACATGTAACTCAAAGAGAAGCAAAGTACTTACTGTGACACTTTTCTTCCAAAAATGCAGTAATGGTACATTCTCACCACTGGATGCCCCAGGGAATGCCAAATTCAGAGTAATTCAACACTTTTCAATAGTGGCATAGACTGTTACAAAACCCAGAAATAACTGCGCTACAGTGGGGCTTATTAAAATCTGTAAATTTTATTCCTGGACAAAATACAATTATCTGCCTTCGAACCTCTTATCTTCCTCAACAATGATTATGATCTGAGATGGGGGCAGGAGAGAGGAAAAGGAAGGCTAAGTGTCCAAGTGAAGAATGATATTAAACATTGTGTTTTTTTTTTAATTTCATTGATTTTATAAGATAAATATCCTACCTTTAAACAAAACAAAAGAAAAAAAAAGTTCCAACACACTTCTCATTCATCGCACTAGGTGGAAAGCAAAAAACAAAAACAAAGAACCACATAAATATGTGGGTAGCCTATCATCCGCAATGCTAAACAATCATGCTGAAGGTTAACATCAGCTCTACCCTGCTGGCCTCAGTCTGTGAATACCACCAAAAAGAAAGTTGAATGACTTTATAAATTTTCTAGGACAACTGACAGAATAGAAGATAAAAAGGTAAATGCAAGAATAAATCTATTCTGGCTTCCAACCATTTTATCACCATGAAGAAACAAAAAGGATGACAAATTGAAGAAATTTTATCAAATAATGCTAAAAAAAACATTTAAGTTAATAATAAATGGTTCAGATATGATGATTCAAAAACTTGTACCAAAAATCCAAATTTTAGGATAGTGGTTACCTATGGAGAAAGGAAGATAACAGAGTATGGAAGATGTTTCTTGAATTAAGATAGGCTGTTTGTGCCCAACATTAATAAATCACACTGCTAATTTTAATGTCTTTTCTATATTTGATATATATATACAGCTATAATGTATACAATGTGTAAAACAATTTATTAAGTAAATGATTTCTATGCTTTTCTGCTTGCTGCTAAGCTGCCAGTCACTGAGTACTATTGCTATTAGAGGGCCTATACTCCATTTCTAACCGCTACTAATCCCCATTTAATTAAATGAAAAAATCTAATTCTAAAGTCTGTTAAGGAACATAGGAAATATACTTTCCTTAGACTTCTATCTCAGTTCTAAATATTCACTCCAACCAGAATCAGATATTCCCAGATAAGAGACTATCTTTAGTGATACTAATCTAAAAAAGTTAATTAAATAACTCCCTCACCATTTAGCAAGGCCAAATATAACCATTTTTTTCTCCTTAAAAAGTTAAAAATGGAAGCATCCTGTATCAACCTGGATCACATAACTCTATTCTGGGATCTTGGAAATATTACTGAGATCTAAAATGTGCTAACATTTAAAGGATCACAATATCATGGCTTTGGCCTTCAGCATCTTATAAACTTTTCTTTAATGTTAAAAATAAGACAATGGGAAGCTATAATACTTTTCGCTTGAAGAGAAAAAGAAAAAAATTAAAAATTCTAATCCTTAAAATAAGCATTTTGGGAGTCGGTGCTGTGGTGTAGTGGGCTAAGCTTCCGCCTGCAGTGTCGGAATCCCATGTGGATGCTGGTTTGTGTTCAGGCTGCTCCTCTTCTAATCTAGCTCTCTGCTATGGCCTGGGAAAGCAGTGGAAGATGGGCCCCTGCACCCATATGGGAGACCCAGAAGAAACTCCTGGCTCCTGCCTTCGGATAAGTCCAGCTTCAGCCTTGAGGCCATTTGGGTATTGAACCAGTGGATGAAAGATCTCATCTCTCAGATAAATAAAATGTTTTTTTTTAATTTTAAAAAACTATATATACATATATAGTTTCTTTAAAAAAATAAGCATTTTGGAGGGTTCTAACTTGAGAGAAATTATTTTGGATGTCAATATATTTCTGAAGCACTTGTCCTGGCTTATGCATAAATGTCACCAAATAAATGGCTAATGCAAACTACAAAAGTCTAATCATTCTTCACCAATTCTTCATATCCCTGTCAAAATTTAAAGAAAAAAATATCAATCTGGATCAAGTAGGACTAGAGGGATTTGGAAGCTAACTCCAATCAAAGACTGGAAAACATGTTTATGTTGGTGCTATGGCCTTTAATTTCAAGCTATCACCCAATGACTGTTGGACAGGAATAAGAATCATTATAGCTACCATTAAAAATTCTAATCTACATAATTACAATCTACAAAATTCTAATCTAATTCTAAAACTACATAATTACAAAAATTTGAGCACTGTGCTAAATAGGCATTATATAATAAAAATATCACAAGTAAAATAAATAGCTATTAAATGGCTTACAGAGATTTATTCTTTGAGTTCTTATAATACTTAGATTCTAGTATTAGCTCCATTTTAATAATAAGGAAATAAAACAGGTGAAGTAATTTTTCCTGGGTCACACAGTTTATCTGATGTCAGAGCCTCAGTCCCTTACATGTTACTCATTTAATTTTCATTTAAAAACCCTAACAGGTAAGTATTATCAGTAGTACTAAGGTTTAAGATATTAAATAACATTCCCAGTCACACAGCTACAGTGATGGATGGGGACTCATACTCACTATTTTATTATTCTTTTTTTTTTTTTTTTTTTTTTGACAGGCAGAGTGGACAGTGAGAGAGAGAGAGACAGAGAGAAAAAGGTCTTCCTTTACCATTGGTTCACCCTCCAATGGCCGCTGCAGCCAGCACACCGTGCTGATCCGATGGCAGGAGCCAGGTGCTTCTCCTGGTCTCCCATGCGGGTGCAGGGCCCAAGCACTTGGGCCATCCGCCACTGCACTCTCAGGCCACAGCAGAGAGCTGGACTGGAAGAGGGGCAACGGGGACAGAATCTGGTGCCCCAACCGGGACTAGAACCCAGGGTGCCGGTGCCGCAGGCGGAGGATTAGCCTACTGAGCCGCGGCGCCGGCCTCACTACTTTATTATTAAACGTCAAGTCTGACGGACATACTACTCTACAACCAAGGATTAACATCAGAGTTAGTAGAAAATCTTAAGGGTCCCAAAGTTACACTGTCTACCCTTTTAACGTATATGTTAACAATGATATGTGCACAACTGATCTGTAATCGAACTACTACAATAAGGTTAATAACATAAAATATAGGAATCCTTGAGAATTATTTCTAATCATCCCAAAAGCCAGTTATAACTAGCTGAAAATAGTTCTTTTACATACAACGGGTCTTCAAGAACTTCCTAGGTGGGGCCGGTGCTGCAGTGCAGTGAGTTAACGCCCAGGCCTGAAGCGCCAGCATCCCATATGGCCGCCAGATCGAGACCTGGCTGCTCCATTTCCGATCCAGCTCTCTGCTATGGCCTGGGATAGCAGTAGAAGATGGCTCAAGTCTTTGGACCCCTGTACCAGCATGGGAGACCGGGAAGAAGCTCCTGGCTTTGGATTGGTGCAGCTCTGGCCATCGCGGCCAACTGGGGAGTGAACCATCGGCTGGAAGACCTGTCTCTCTCTCTCTCCTCTCTCCTCTCGCTATGTAACTCTGACTCAAATAAATAAATATTAAAAAAAAAAAAAAACAAAAAAAAAAAACAAAAAAAAAAAAACCTTCCTAGGAGGAGATCAGTTTAGTCTAGCAGCTAAAATGCATGCATCTCACAAAGGAGTATCTGGGTTCAATTCCTGGCTGCAGCTCCTGATTACAGCCTCTTGCTAATACAGATCCCAGGAGACAGTAGTGATGGCTCAAGTAACTGGATTTCTGCCACCCAGCTGAGGAAGCCTGGATTATGGTCTGGCTTTGGCCCTCACCCAGTCAAGGGGGTCATTTTGGGGCATAAACAAAAGGAGAGGAGGACTCTCTCTCTCTCTCTCTCTCAAATAAACAACAAAATTCTTTTAAAGTTCATGGAAAATAAGTACTATGAAAAAAACATGGATTTCAAAAGTTTCTGTACCAAAATAAACCTATTATTAATTCCATTTTCTCACAAACTCTCTGAAGTATCCTCATATCTCCATATCATACTTTTGTCAACCTATTTATACTGCTACAATTCCATACAAAGAATTTTAGTGATTTCCAAGTATTAGTTGTAGATTTTGTTGATAATTATAATTTTTCTTAAATTTTAATCTGGTGTTGTTTACAAGTTAATTAAAGTGAGTATCAGTTTTATTCAAATCCATATGGTATTTGCATTAAGCAACCTTTAATTATCAACTATGGGAATCTCTACTATTTCTCAAATTAACACAATATAAAATTTGAAAATGTATATACCAAATAGTCAGCAACTGAAGTTTGACCCGATATCATATTTTTTTAAATCATGCAACTTTGTTTACAACAACTTAAAATAAAATAAATAAGGATAACTGATTAAGGGCAAATAGAAGGTCATGTGCAAGTAAAACTATCATCAATATTCAGTGCTTTAAAAGCATCTATATTTAAAGTAAGTTGTAGTCAAACAAATACATTCCCAAAATGAAAATCCAAAGTATGTTATTATAGTCAAATACGTAAATTCCAAATATAAGAAATCTTACCTCTTTGATATTTAGAGGTCTTCCACTAAGATCATATTTATTCATAGTTTCTAGTGCTTTCTTTACAAATTCTTCATCTTTGAATTCAACAACACTTAATGAGGAAAAATGCACAGAAAACATTTATGTACTAAGATTATTTTACAATCATAAGTTTAATTTGACTTAAGATAGTTCAAAAAAAAATCTTACCCACAACCCTATATCCAGGTAGATTTGTCAATACATGCAAAAGAAAAAAGATTTTAGATCAGTAGATGAAGTTAATATATAGTCTAACATCTGTCATTGAAAGTATTCAATATTATAAGTACTTTTCATCTTTTATACCTCCAGAACATAACAGGCAAGTGACCAAAAACATTTTTGTAATTTTTTAAGTTCATCTTTTTAAGACAGTATAATGTAGCATGTAACAAGCTTGGAGCACATTTTTACTTTTAGAAGACTTTCCATTAAGTTAAAACTAATGACACTGTAAAATTCAATTAACAGTAATTCAAGGAAATAACTGAAGGCTCCAAAATATTTATTCTTACTTAGACACAAACATGTTCAAAATAAGTATTATGTACCATATATTTTTTTACTCCATTAAGATCAAAATACCAAATAAACATTAATTTCATTTTTAATCAAGTTCCTTGTCAGATTAAAACTGGCTGCACACAATTTAAGAGCATTCAGTTTTAAGTATGGGAAAAATTACCTATGCCAAAGAAACCTAATTTGCAGAATCATTTTATAAAACAATTCCTTGTGATTACTGTTCAAAGTGCCATTTAAATGTCATAACAAAGTCTGTATTTCTCATGTACCCAACTGGTGTTTGCTAATATAATTAAACATTGTCAAGAATTTCCCATTGTATTCTTCAGTATATTGCATTCACATTGCTAAAAAATCAAAAAATCTACTATCAACCAATTTTTTATGTGAATTTAATCATCAATGTCATTCATACCATTTGGTCAGAGCACTGCCTCTTATATGGTCCTGCAGGCTAGCAAATTAAGCTTTTCAGTAAAAGTTTCAAAAATGCATTCTAAATTAACACCTTTAAGCTACAGTCCTCTTATAAAACTTTTAGGGAAAGTTATCAATCCAGTAACTTTTAAAATATCCTTGAAGACATCAAAAAACAACCAAAAATACTACATTAAAATCTTATTGGCTAAGAAGAAGCATTACCTTAGAGTTGTTAGAAAAGTGAATGCCCTCTACGAATATTTACAAAACCCATCCCTTCCAGGCAGCTAGTTTGGTTTGTATAATGTGTCAGACTTGCTAGTATGAAGCCTCAAATCTTGCATAATAAAGTAAAACAAAAAAAATGAAACTTAAGTTTCCAAAATCTGGTACAAGTATTATACAGAAAGTAAACTGCTGAGGAACTTTTAAACCTCAAGCAGATTATTGCCCACAGCACTTACCCTTGATTTTCCTTCCGCATCCTTAAAGAGCTCCACGTATGTAACCTCACCAACTACATAAGACATACAAAAGGAAGATACCAAGAAACAATACATTTAAACACCAGTGTCTTGCTTTACTGCACACCTGTGCACAACTCTACAGAAAAGCACCTATTATTCACCAACGATCAAAACCAGACCAACATACCTCCTGTCAATGGCTCTGTAAATTTAACTGATTTTCAGAAGTGTACATCATCCACATTCTCTAAAAAAGCTAACAACCATATTAACCTAATACATGCTACAGATCATGATCTTATTTTGGCCAGCATGATATAGTTGGTGAACAAATGCACATATACATACAAATGGTCCCTTAGCCTATCATATTAAAAAACATCAACATTAGCACTTTTCAAGTAACTTTGGTCAGCCTACACACAACAGCTGTTTTAAGGTGACTTTCTACCTGAATGTCTTCAATCATGTTTGCCATCAATAAACTAAATTTACAAGTCATGCTTCACAGCAAGCCACACACTTTCTAAATAAAGTCAATGAATAAAACCAATCAAATAGTTGTCACCTTACAACAGATACACCAATGCAATTTTTTTTATTTATTAAAAAAGATCAGCCTCAAAGCCAAGGACATAGTTTGCAGGACTGTTGAAACTCAATTTTTCAAGAGATAACAAAACTAACTTTTACAAGATCAAATATTAAAGTTATTTTTCCCCAAAACCAACCATATATATAAGATGAAGGTTTTCAGATTATTCTGAAAGCAAAACTGCAACAGCAGTAACGCAATTTTAATATAGAACTGCAAAGACAGCATCATGGCAGTAATGACAATGCAAACAAAATGAATCCACAGCCAGATTCCAGACTCCACCAAGGTAATAACAAAACAGCTTTTGGAAAAAAAATAATCAAACCTTATTATTCATACTTTAACACACTAAATGTATTGCTTAACTAATGCAATAGTCCTTTAAAATCTATGAAAACTTCAACTAGACAAAGCAATCACTTTAACAAAATTCTTGGTGGCATGCATATGGCTGGCTCACTACTATCCCACTAAAATGGCAGAAAGAAAAGTACTTCATTTATCCATACTACCTTGTAATGAAATTGTGTCAAGTGAAAGAAGAGGAAAAGATTAGTTCACATGTCAAGAAATAAAAATTAGTTTTTGAGTCTATGTGGCTAAGAAGAATAAAAAAATGTGCTTAGTTTCCTCCCCTTTCTATATGAAAATTATCCAAGAATAGGTTATTTCAAAGATAGTTACCTTTTTCTCTCATTAGATCTTTAATAGCTTGCCATTTCATGTCATACGGGATGTTACTAATGAAAACTCTGTTACGATTTGGACCCTTCTTTTCTCCAGTGCTGGAATTCTTGTCTTTTGAATAAGGATGAAATCTATTGGCCTTCTTATTTCCTGTAGATTTTTCTTTTAAGTCAGATTTCTCTTCTTTCACTGAGTCATCATTCTCCCTATGAATTTAAAAAAAATGACAAAACTTCAGTTGCGCTTCTAAGAGCGGAAGTTCACATTAAGTAATTCATACTTACAACTCTACTCACAAAATCCCACTAAGCTAGACCTCAGCAAAGCAGCTGGAGAGTCAGCCTGATAGCTCTGAAAATTACCCAATGCTAATTTAAACCATGGATTTGGACATATTATCAAGCTTCTCAATGAATAATCCTCATTTTTCTCCATAGTAAATATGAATAGATTCAAGTATCCAACCAAGCAATCTCCAAGGATTTCCCATCAGACTGCTAATAAATGTCATTAGATCCAAACAGAGGGCCTGGGAGTGCAGTGACTTTACTTCTACAACATATAAAATTGCTCCCTTGATCACAGAATTAACTTTCTGGGCTTCACTCAAAACTCTAAAAAACAAATAATACTCTGAAAAAGGTCATCTCTTAATGGTTAAAGTTTCTTCCCAGAACTTACTCTTCCATTTCTTAAAAACAAAAACTAAATACACAACTATGTCTATTGATTTACATTTCTATACCAGGGTCTTCAAAAAGGCCATAGAAATGCGCATTACTTTTTTAATTCCATTGCCCACAAACATTTGGAAGTGCCCGGGTAGGTATACACTCCTATAATCCTCAAATCTCTTCTATTCCCAACTTCAATCAAAACAAAAATTTAGAAGGTATACTAATATTTTCTGCTAAATATTTTTTCTTCTTTAACCAGTAAACTAAGACAGGGTATTTCATAGAATCAAAGTATTTTTAATAATAATATCTATAAAATGGGATGAAGTTGGAAGAGGGAATAGTAATTAATGCTACATGAACCAGAATTTTATAAATCTACTTTTAAATGAAGCCTTAATTGGAAAAAATTTTAATTTATTAAGTCTAAACTCACAATGCAACTATATGATATAGAAGATATAGGTACAACTATATGATATAGAAGATATAGGTACAAAAAAAGATACACATATATAATTAAGATAAACTATACTGATAAAAATTTGGACTTATATTTAAAGACATGATTTACTTTTCAAAAGGATTCTTTTTTACAGAAGCAACAATAGATTTATTTTAAATCACTAATAGCTTTAAATTCACTAGAGTAATTAAAAAATTTCCATTTAAAGCAATTTTTCACACATACACAGATAAAGGTCTCTGAGAATGATACACAGGAGCCTAAATTCTTTAAAGCTTTCTGTATTATTCTGACAACCAACCAGGTTCCATAATCCAGGTTCTACATGCTCTTCTAAGCCAAGCAATTCTAGGAGAGCTCCTCATGCACCTCTTGAAAGAGTCCCTTGTTACACAGCTTGCTTAGCTTGTTAGACACCACTCTTCTGAGCAGGTAGCAATACCACCGGAAATATAGTATATATACTATCTGCATAGGTATCAGCAGCATCTTCCATAATGATAAGTAACATGTGCTCAATAAATAGTAATTTTTGAATGAATGAACAATTAAGAACTCACACTCAAATGAGCACAGATGGTGCCAATGTCTGCCAGAAGAGCTGCTACAATCAAGGAAGAAACATTCAGCCTAAACTTGCTCTGCCACCTTTTCAGAACTTAACAGGAACATCCTCAGTGTCAAGCAGAAATAGCACAACCTCGAAGGGGTCTTCTCTACCCAACTCCAGAGAGGAGGTCTTCCCTCTTGTTTCTGTGTACAGCACATTCAACAACAAACCCTTCTTTCTCACCTCTCAAAGGACCCATTTGCACAACAGGGGGAGGCTGAATTCAAAGCACGTCTCTGTTTAGGTGAGCAGATTATCTATACAATCTCTAGCCAAAAACACCCCCATCTTTTTTCTTCCTGGATAAATCCAATTGTGAAAACACATAAAGTTCTGAAATGCATAGAGTTCTGAAATTCTTGACCTAAGCAGGTACATGGATATTAAACATTTGCTTACAATAATCTGAGTACTACATTAAAAAGCAGTAATATACCTTCTTTAAAATATTTACCCAAGGGATGACCAGAAAAAATTATTTCTTCAAGTTCTCCCCAATTAGGAGCATCTTTAAAATACTGCTAACCTGTTCATCTACAGTGTGTAATATTATCTATGTAAAGCATGTCACTCTAGTGGCTAGAATTATCTGGTTATTAATAAGCCATAATTACAATTTCTAAATTCTTTCTATCAGAAATATATTATGTAATAGAAAGTAAAAATATATGTGAAAATATTGGCTCTATACCCCAAATTCTATGTACTAATTCCTAAACTATGTTAATCCCTCTCTTAAATGTTCTTAAAATATTCTAAAAGTGACAAAAACTTTACAACAAATTTATTTTAAAAAGTCAATATTCAATACCAAATGAGGAATATAGTTCTAATGAGTGATTTTAAAAGTATAACATAATAGTACAAGGTCAAAAATTAATCCCAATTACAGAAGGAAGTTAATAGTGATGAATGCCTACATGAAGAAAAGAAATTTCAAACAACCTAATTCTAGAAAAAAAGAAAAGAATGGAAAGACTCAGATGGAGCTCTGGGCTCCTGATTTCAGGTTGGCCCAGCCTCTGCTGTCGCAGGCATTAGTGGAGTAAGCAGATGAAGATCTGTCTTTGCCCCTCTGCCTTTCAAACGATAATTAAAAAAAAAAACAGATTAGTAAAAGAAAGAAAATAACAAAGATCACAGGATAAATGAAATATACTAGAAAGCAAAAGAAAAGATGACAAAACTGAGTTGTTTTTTTGGAAATATAACCAAAACTGACAAATACACATATTAAGGTAGACACTGAGGAAAAAAAAAAGACTAAAATCAGAATGAAAGAAATTATAAAGGTGCCACAAAAATACAAGGGATCATTAAATGACCACTATGAACAATTGAATAACCTAGGAGAAACAGACAAATTCCTATAAACACACAACTCATCAAGGCTATCTCATAAAGAAATAGAAAATCTGAAATGACCAATGAGAAAGCAGATTGAACTAGTAATCAAAAATTACCCAACCAACAAAAGCCCAGAATTTAAAGACTTTACTAGTGAATTCTACAAATATTTAAGAATACCGATCCTTCTCAAATCCTTGTAAAAAACTGAACAGGAAAGAACTCTTTCCAATCATTTTGAGAGGTCATTATTAATCTGATACAAATGCCAAACAGTGTTAGTAAAAGGAAAAAGAATTACAGGCCAGTATCCCTGATGAACCCACATGAAAAATCCTCAACAAAATACTATCAAACTACATTCAAAAGCACATTAAAAGGATCATATACCATCATCAAGGCAAGGATGGATCGACAGACACGAATCAGTAAATATGATACACCACATTAAAAGAATGAAGGCTAAAAAACAAGTAAGCATCTCAATATTCTGAAAAATTATTTGAGGAAATTCAATATCTATTCTTCTTGATATAAAACTCTCAATAAATCAAGTATAGAAGGAAAGTACTTCAATATAATAAAGGTCACACAGCTAATATACAAAACAGTGAAAAGTTGAAAGTGTTTCTTCTAAGAACAAAAGGAAGACAAGGATGGCTACTCACATCACTTCTATTTAGCATAGTACTAGAAGTTCTAGAAAGAGAAATTAGGCAAGAACAAGAAATAAAAGGCATCCACATTGGAACAGAAGAAGTAAAATTATCTCTACTTGCAGATGATGTGATCTTCTATAGAGACAACTGTGAAGACTCAAAATACTATTAGAACTAACAAAACTAACTCAGTAAAATCACGGCATATAAAACCTACAAAAATTAGTTATGTTTATACACACTAACAATGAACTACTCAAAAAATGAATAAATAATAAAATCCCATTTACAAAAACACCAAAAACAATAAATGCTTGGCAATAAATTTAACCAAGGAGATGTACACTGATAACTATCAAACATTAATGAGGGGATAGGACTGTGGTGTAGCAGGTTAAGCTGCTGCTGGCGTCCCACATGGGCGCTGGTTCAAGTCCTGGCTGCTTCACTTCTGATCCAGATCCTCACTAATGTGCCTAGGAAAGCAGAGGAGATATCCCAAATTCTTGGGATCCTCCACCCATATGGGAGACTCAGATGAAGTTCCTGGCTCCTGGCTTCGGCCTGGCCCAGCCCTAGCCATTGCACTTTCTGGGGAGTGAACCAGCAGATGGACGATCTCTGCCTCTCTGTCTCTGTGTGTGTGTGTGTGTGTAACTCTGCCTTTTAAATAAACAAATTAATCTTTTAAAAAAATGAATGAAAGAAGTTGAAGATTACACTACATCCATGGTTCAGAAGAATCAATGTTATCAAATGTCCATACTATTCAAAATGCTGCATAGGGTCAATGCAGTTCCAATCAAAATTCCAGTGGCATTCTTCACAGAAATACAAAAATCCTAAAAATTTCTATGAAACTTCAAACGACTCCCCAAAAAACTAAAACAATCTTGAACAAAGCTGGAGGCATCACACATCCTGATTTCACAATATGTTATAAAACTACAGTAATCAAAACAGTATGGTACTGGCAAAAAACAAAAAAACAAAAAACAAAAAAAAGACACACAGATCAATGGAATGGAATAAAAAGCCCAGAAACACATCTACACACATAAATTCAACTAATAATCAACAAAGGCACCAAGAATATACAATAAGGAAAGGATATCCTTTTCAATACATGGTGTTGGGAAAACTGGATATCCATATATCAAAAAGAAAGAAATTAGATCCTTATCTTAAAATACACAACAGGAATGAATGCAAAGATTAAAGATTAAACATAATATCTGAAACCATACAACTCCTAAAGAAAATTTAGAGGGAAAGCTCCATGATACTGGTCTTGGCAATGATTTTTTTTTTTTTGATGTGGCACCAAAAGCACAGGCAATAAAAACAAAATAAACAAGTGGAACGACTTTAAACTAAAACATCTCTGTATTGCAAAGGAAATAATCAACAGAATTGAAAGGCAACCCACAGAACAGAAGAAAATATTAGCAACCCATATATCTTATATATGGCAACATACAAGGGACTCGTACAACTCACAACACATAATAGTAATAACCAAAGTAAATTGGGAAAAGGACCTAAACAGATATTTTTCCGAAGTAGAAATTGTCAATAGGTATATGAAAAAGTTTTCAATACGACTAGTCATCAAGGAAATGCAATTCAAAATCACAATGACGTAGCACTGTACATATATTAACATGTTTATCATCAGAAAGTCAGAAGATGACAAGTACTGGCAAGGATATAGGAAAAAAAAGGAATCATTATATACTTTTGGTGGAAATATTTGTATATGATATAGCCATTATGGAAAACAGTATGGAGGTTCTTCAAAACATTAAAAATAGGGCAGAGGTTTGCTGTAATAGTTACAACACTGCTTGGGACACCCACATCCCACATCAGGAGTGCCTGGGTTCAAGTCCAAGTTCTGTTCCCATTTTCAGTTGCTGTTGGTGTGCTGGAGACCAGAGAGGTTCAAGTAATTGGGGTTCCTGTCACCCATGTGAGACCTGGGATGAGCTCCTGGTTCCCAGCTTCAGCATGGTCCAGGGCTGGCTACTCTAGGCGCTTGAGCAGTGAACCAATGTAAGGGAGTACTTGCTCTCTCGTGCACTTTCCCCTGCATCCTGTCTGCCTCCCAATTTTTTAAAATTAAAAACAGAAATGCCATATGACCCAGCTATACCAGTTCTCACATATATACAAAGGAAATAAAATCACTGTATCAAAGAATTACCTGTACTCCCATGTTCCCTGCAGCACTCACATTAGCCAAAATATGAAAATAAGCCAAATGTTCCTTGATGGATGAATGGATAAAGAACATACATATAATACACACACACAACAAAATATTTAACCCTAAAAAAAAAAAAAAGAAAATCTTGCCATTTGTAACAATCTGGGAGAAACCTGGAAGGCATTATGCTAAGTGCAATAAGCCAGACTCAGAAAGACAAATACTGCAAGACACCTACTTATATCTAGAATCTTCAAAAGCCAAACTCATATAAGCAGAAAGGAGAATGATTACTAGAGGTCAAGCAGTGGAGGAAGTGGGGAGGTATTGATCTAAGGGTTCAAACCTTCAGTTTTAAAATGAATTAAGTTCTGGAGACCTAATGTATGGTATAGTAACTCCATGGTTGAAGTAACTAAGGTTTATGCAATAATACATGTTCTTATGCACTTAATAAAAGCAGAGCTAGTAGATCATCGCAACATAAAAGACTAGATTTATAGAAACACATCTTTAATTTCTTGTCTAATGATATGAACATGGCAATTAAATTCTCTGTATATGAGCTCCATGACCATAAAAATTCACTTGTAAATTTCTTCAACAAACATTTACTGGACCTTTAAAATATAAGGCCTTGAGCAAGACATACAGATGAACGTGACATAGTGGTCTCTGTTCTCAGTAACTGTGAATTAACTTTAGCACAAGTCATTTCAATCCTGATGACAAGCAGTACTCTCTTCACTTAGCAGTATAAATCTTAAGGCATTGTTTCTGATCATTTTTATCATCACCAAAGAAGTCCTACAATTAAAAACATACAGTATCAACTCAAAATTTATGTGTTAGGGTTGTCAACTACTCCTATTGGTTCACAAAGCTCAAAAAGGTTTGAAAGTTCCCTGTTACACAGTGTGCATAACGCATAGTAGCTCATCACAAATTCTGACGGAATAGACAGTACCAGAGTCTCTGTTCAACTTCTGGGGAAAAAGATAGGAAGAGAAACGAGTTAACAAGCAACATGGTAAGATCTACAGTTATTAGCAGCATTTCTTACTTTCTACATCACATTTTTCGCTTCCTAAATTAGATAAGGATTCTTTTCTCACCTCTCTCTTCTCCTGTACCCTTGATGAGATTTCAAAAGGGATTAGACATTTTTAATATCTAAAAATCTAAAAAATAAAAAAATAGAAGTTTAAATACCAACTCAACCTGTACCAACTCTATTGCACTAATCTTACCCAAGGGTAGTAGGGCTTCTCTAATTCAAGGCTCCTAATTTTGTTGACAAAGGTAGAAGAAGGTGCACAATTATGCTTAGATATGAACTAATAGTACATAGCAGCCATCATTCAGTATCCACAGGGGATACTGATTGATTCCAGGGCCCCACTCTCCACCTCCACAGATAAAAACTCTGAGGGGGGTCAGTGCTATGGCTTAGTGGGTTATGCCTCCGCCTCTGGCCCCAGCATCCCATATTGGCGCCAGTTCTTGTCCCGGCTGCTCCTCTTCCCATCCAGCTCTCTATGGCCTGGGAAAGCAGTAGAGACTGCCCAAGTGCTTGGGCCCTTGCACCTGGGTGGGAGACCGGAAGAAGCTCCTGGCTCCTGGCTTTGGATGGGCGAAGCTCCAGCCATTGCGGCCATTTGGGGAGTGAACCAGAGGAATAAAGACCTTTCTCTCTGTCTCTCCCTTTCACTGTCTGTAACTTCTCCTCTAAACCTCTCAAATAAATTAAAATCTTCGAAAAAAAAAAAAAAGGCTGAGGATGTTCAAGTCCCTGATACTAAACTGCACAATTTGCATATAACCCATGCACATTCTCCTGTATAATTAAATCATCTCTACATTACTTACACCTAATACTAGATAAATACAACATAAGTACTTGTTATACTGTATTGTTCAAGAATAGTTACTTTATTAAAAAGTCAGTACACCTGTACTGATGAAATCGCTTTTTCCATCCCAGGATGGCTGAATCCACAGATGTGGAACCTGCAAATATGAGTACAGAGGATTGGCTCTGTTTTTATGTTTATCACTCCACTGTTTTTTGTTTTTTAGTTTGTATTCATAATGTCAAATCCCCAAAAGCCAACATTTTGGCAGTCATGACAGAAAGTGCTTTGCTCACTTCCTGGTTTCCCAGTTACTAATGTGCACCACTTTTCATCCAGGAACAAACTCCATCGAGTTCTGATCTCGGACCGGCCACCTCTATTCTGCCTAGAAGATTCTATCTATTCAAATCCACTGTAGAGCAAAGGGGGCAGATGGAAACTGAAGAGAACCACCTCATTTCATCGCAATCAACCCCTACACATATCTCACCACACTGCTTCACACGTTTTTACACCAGAGAAATAAGTCAGAAACACATCTGCACTTCCTATTTTAGTGTGACATATATTCACTGCTTTCTACTCTGAGCATAACTGAGAGAGGGTAGTGTTTTCACTAAGTTATTACCAAACTTTCAACTTCAGGTCCCAAGGGGGAGGCCTATGAAAATAAACACCTGACTCCCCTATGCCCCCACATGACACCAAGGAAGGTGAGCGTAACATTTCCTTCTAACTGGAAGGGATTATGGATTTGAGTCAAATCCTTTACAGACATGACTGATAGCTGCACTCACAAAGTAGTAGGGTTTTCCTCAATTAAAAAAAAAATCTTATTTTACCCTTACACCATATTTAGGGCCATCACTCACTGGGTTTTTAAAAATAGTCCGCACAGCTGACAAACATCACCTGGTGGGTGGGGAAGCAGTTGCACATCTCCCCTTTTAAAGTACCTCCAGCCAATTCATGGGAACACAATGGATTCACTAGAACAGCGTATTATTAAACTTCATGTCGGGATCTAGCAGTTTAGGGCTGAATATCTGCGTTAGAAAACGAGAGCAGAACACTAAAACCATAAGCAAAGCTCGGAATTAGGCCGGCGAGATGGATATTCCTTTCAAATACGATTTCGGTGGTTAAGAGGAAAGGTCCGATGATGTCATCCCTAGATACTCCCTAGTGATGAACACTAACTACTGGCCTTTAAAAGGGGGACCATTTTCCTGCAAAAGGTGGCATTCGCCAAGCTTTGCTCAAAGGTTTCCCAGCTGAAGTCAAGGAAGTGGGGGTTGTCCCAAGGTCTCGCACTAGAAATCCGGAAGGGGCGCGGGGCCCCGGCCCCCCACCCCTGGCTCTCGGGGCAGTGTGCGGCGCGGCCCAGCCCTGGCGGGCGGGGAAGGCCTGGGAGAGTCCCGGCTGCACCTGCTTCTCGCGCCGCCGACGGCCCGCGGACGGGCCGGGGCCCAAGGGGCGGCTGTCCCCTACCGAGGCCCGACGCGGCCCCCGGCTCCCCGGCCGCCTCCCCGCCCCCCACCGCGCCCGGCCCCCGGAGGAAAAGACAATACATTTTAACGCCATTGGAGCTGCTGCTGTGCGGCGGCTGCTGCTTCTCCGGCTCCGGGGGGTGCGGTTCTCGCCGGGGCTCGCCCGGCGGCTCCGCGGGCTGCTGGGGCAGGCTGTCGTCGCCAACCGCCCCAGCCACCTCGGCCTTGTCGGCATCCGCCATCCCGCCGCCGCTGCCTCCGCCTCGGCCGCCTGCGCTGAGGGGCTCCGAGCGCGACAATGGCGGCAGCCGGGGAAGCGGTAACGGATCCCGATTTGAAAAGGCCCCGAGCGCTCAGTTGCCCGGATCTCGCGAGAACCGGTCGAGCCCGGGCGACTGGGAGATAGTACGAGCCGGGTGCGGGGGGTGGGAGTGCGGTGGGGGAGGGGAGGGGAGGGCTGGAGGAGGGGGTCGGGACCACGGTTGGGGCAAACGGCCCTGCACCTGCCCGGGACAGGATTTGACCAGTCCTGAAACCCGCGGTGGGGCCAGGTTCGGAGCACCAGCCTGCCTGGCGCTGGGCACCCGGTGGGGGTCTTCGCTCACAAAGCGAGGTTAGAAATCTCAGCAGCGTTGAAACTGGGACTGTTCCAGTCTTCCCAGGTAGGGACAGCCCAAGTTAGAGAAGCAGGCACACTTTGCATCTCTAAAGACGCCTGCAAGTCTTCAGCCTGCTTTGGATGCAAATAAAGCATCTGGGCCATTTCAAAGCTTACGCACCCCGTGGACATTCTGTAAACAGTTATTGATGACCGCACTTCACCGAGTTGAATGGCTTTGAATTTCTTTGAGGATTGCTTGCTCTTGAAACTGAAAATTTCTTTGAAACGCAGCAATCAGCTTAGAAAGAGAACATTGAAGTTTTTTGGTTTTTTTAATTCTCTGCACAGCAATCAATAGGAGGAATCTATAGTTTTCGTGGGAAAGCTATTAGAATGGCTGATAATAGGCATTTTGGTTTGGAGTTCTGTGTTTATTACATGCCTTTGCAAAGTATATGCGAGAGAGTTTATAGGCCCTCAAACAAATATAATTACCATATGGAGTTTTAAAATAGAGGCATAGATTTTTTTTTTTCCGCCTATAAGTATGAAAAAGAAACCCATTAAACTTAACCAACTCCTGAGTACTAAAGTGATATTTCACATTGAAATAACCTTTGGGCTGGGGCTGGCGCCACGGTGCACTAAATTAATCCTCCGCCTGCGGCGCTGGCATCCCATATGGGCGCCAGTTCTAGTCCCGGTTGTCCCTCTTCCAGTCCAGCTCTCTGCTGTGGCCCGGGAAGGCAGTGGAGGATGGCCCAAGTGCTTGGGCGCCTGCACCCGCATGGGAGACCAGGAGGAAGCGCCTGGCTCCATATCGGTGCAGCTCCAGCCGTTGCGGCCAATTGGAGAGTGAACCAATGGAAGGAAGACCTTTCTCTCTGTCTCTTCCTCTCATTGTCTAACTCTACTTCTCAAATAAATAAAATAAAATATTTAACCTTTTGGCTAAAAAATTCAAAACCTTCCTCCCAAATACTTCTTTTCATAAAGACCGTGAAATCATTACATAGATTTACCTGCTTTACAGAATATCAGGCACTTATTTGTGACAGTTACATTTAGAAACTAATACTAAAGTAGTGTATACTATCCTAAATTTTCCCCCTGTTCTTTGGAATTTCCATATGCAGGTTCCTGCCCTCCACTCCACCCCAGTATCATAAAACATCCCACCCTGAGGGGATACTCTACTTCATCAAGCGCACATACACATTTTAATCATGATGAGGAATGCTTGTTAATACATTATTGCAGGCCGGCGCTGTGGCATAGCGATAAAGCCGCCGCCTGCAGTGCAAGCATCCCATATGGGCCCAGTTCGAGTACCCGCTGCAGCAGGCTGATCCAGCTCTCTGCTATGGCTTGGGAAAGCAGTAGAAGATGGCCCAAGTCCTTGGGCCTCTGCCCCTGTGTGGGAGAACTGGAGGAAGCCCCTGGCTCCTGGCTTCGGATTAGTGCAGCTCTCGCCAATTGGGGAGTGACCCAGCAGATGGAAGACTCTCTCTCTCTCTCCTTTCTCCCTGCCTCTCTGTAACTCTGCCTTTCAAATAAATTAATTTAAAAAATTAATTAAAAAACTCTTGCTAGGATTCTACCTGTTCTGTTGCACAAACACGACAAATGCTATTGAAGTTGCTGCTTAGATGGTTGCTCCTCAGTCAACCTGAGATACAGTGTTTGGAGTAGCAGAAATAACATCTGATTTTGGCAGAGAAAATCTGGATTTGAATCCTAGTTTTGCAATTTTCTGCCTATAACTGCCTGGGCAAGTCACTTCATCTCTCAACCTCTCCACAATAAATAAGAATAACAATAGCTATCTTGCAGGATTAAGGTGAGGATGAAAAGAAAACACTTAGTGTAGGGCAAAGCGCTGTGTAAACATAACCTGGTATCACAATACCCTCTCTCAAGGCTCAAGCAGGCTGTTAGTGAAAGAGAAGTTAGGTGGTTTTCTGAGAGTGATACTCTTCATTCTGTTATCCTTTTATTATCACTGAATTTCACAATGAAGACTTAATCTCACAGTCCCCACTACAGTATCTTCTTGCAAAAATCTTTTAATAAAAATTCATTATTTCTAAAGAGGCCTTTATGCTTAAAACAGAGTAGTAGGCACACGAGGAACACAAAACTCAGTACACTCCTGTTGGGAGAGTACACATTTATGAAAAGCACTATCATAGAGATAAAAGTGAAGTATAATTAAAAATTGATTTTCAAACACAAGAGACCAGCCCACATGCCATAGTATATCAATTAAAATATTCCATTAAAATACTTATCTTGATTACTGAGCTCTTGGGCACTGCCTTCAACTTTTGTGCCTATGACGAATGCCTCACTCACACTGTACTTTAGTCCCGGTTTGATAAATATATCAAGAGCTGGTAGTTCCTGCTGGGGAATCAGCAAGAGTTTCACAGGAGAGCTGGATCTTAGAAGAAGGAGAGAATTAGGGCAGCTTCGGAAGAGAAGAAGATGATTAATCCTTACCACTGGACTGCTCTGTAGATTGATCATTTGTCTTTCTTATCTCTTATTATTAATATTGTGCTGACCATAGATAAATCTAAGATACAGAAAGATGGCTATTAATAATATATTGCTGAATTCCATCTCTATATTTTCTTTTCTTCCTCTCCACTGTTTTTATTTTAATTCATGGATGCACATTAAAAAAATTCTTAAGTAATGTTCAAGTTTACTCACTGCAAAAGTGTTATCCTTTGTAATTGCACAAAATGCATTGCTAGTAAAACTTCACATAACAACTTAGTTTTCTTATAAATTGGTGTGTGTCTGTGTGTATTAAAGCAGATAAGAGAGAAATCATTTACACATATCTAGAAATGTTAGCCAAAAATTCTATAATACTTTCAATTATGTGTGTATCATTTAGAAATTGTCTTCATCAGCTAGTAACAGCAACTGGAAGTCGCATTTCTTAAACAAGATAAATGCTGTCACCCTTTAAATCAAAGAAATGCAGAGGGAGATTGTGGAGAAGGTATAGTAGCCCCACATTCATGAGCCCAGATACCCACAACTTTAATCTTTCACCATCCCAGTGTGAGGCTTCCATCACTAAGGTTTACCTGTGGCCCAGGAAGGCTACTGAAGAGCGGGGCATTATAGTTCGCTAGATCCAGAAAGGAAAGATTCATCCAGAACTCAGACACGCATTTCCATCAGTGGGCCAGAATTTGGTCACATAACAAACTCAGCAATAGAAGAGGTTGGCAAATAATTTGGGGGCCAGGCTCATTACTCAAGATGAAAAGAAATGAAGAGGACTAAGGAGTGGCCCTAAGTGTATCATCATCCTTTCTATTTGTTTTTAAGAACTAAAAAGCAAAGACCAACAGTATAAAGTAAAGCAAGAAATATGGTATGATTTTTTAAGTAAATTTGCTGAACTATAAATTAAATGGCTGGATTTGGAGGCACAAAGTCTCTAAATGGTAGAAAGTAAGAAAGTTTTCTCTTTTTCAAAGCTTAAAAGGGAATTTATAAGTTTAAAAATACTATGGGTTATACCTCAAGTTTATATGTTTCCCTTTTTTTCTAAATTCATTCTGTGATGATAATGTGGATGTTGGTTATTGTCGATAGACATGTTTAACCTTAGTCTAGCAACTTTATCACCTCTATCTCTATTTTCTTCCATCACTCTGCTTAATTTAAGGAGTCTGTTTTGCAAAAATTTAGTATTCCAAATACGCATCTTGTAGAAAGGTCTCCACAAAGAAAGGAAGTTTAGAATTAAGACAATTATCTGAATAAGCCAAGCAAAAAGTCTACTTTCACTTCAATTATTCAAGTAATTCAGATAATATTAAGGATCTTGCATGAATTCCTTAGATAATTGTTTTGTTTTCAACTTACAACCCTAAGGTCATTGGCCAATAGCAGATTTACTTCTGATTTTTATACACCATATTGGGATATAATTTTTCCTTAAAAACTAAAGACTCCTATAATTCCTATATATTTATTTGAGAATTTTTGACCACTTTCTAATTCCTTAACTGGTATCATCCTGCCTTTTCCCCAATCTTACCCTTAAAAGGCAGATCAGAAGAGCAAATTCCCAAGAAGTCTGCCCTGCTTTCCTTCCTGTTGGCATACCTACTTCTTTTTCATTAAAAATTACATCAATTGGACTTCCTTTGTCCAAAACCATGGATATCATATGGCAAGATTTTTTTTAAAATTATCTTAGTCTGGTATTCCAACTCAAAGAGCACTAGTGAAAATAATTGCTTTATTTCAAATATTAATTTAATTAATTATCCTTTTTAGCATCATTCTCAATTTATAACATTTAGAAGAGAAAAATGTTTCTTTGAATGATAAATTACAAAACTCAACCCACCTGCTATCTTGCCTATTTGAAGATAATCCTATAAATGGTGATGACAGAGAAAATAATTGACACAATTCATCGTCCTCTTCTTTTGTGGTCACAGAAAGTCAAATTGTGGCTATAACTGTTACTAATGCTCCATGTTTTCTGGCTTCCCTTGCAGCTACATGTGACTATGTTCTGTACAATAAAATATAAGCACTTCATGTGTGCCATGTAGGTGCTTTCTTAGAAGAAATTGACTTAGCTGGGAGAATGGCCCTTTTTTCTTTTCCTGCCTCCTCCTGCTGTTGTCTTGGGATGAAGAAATGATGTCTGTTAGTAACAGCAACCATGTTGGGCCATGAGGCCATGAAGTGACCTTGTTATTGGAAACTAATTGCTGAGGTCA